GGTCTCGCGGCAGGCGAGCGGCTCGGTCGCCTCCTACGGTCCCATGGCACTCCCCGGCTCCCCGGCTGAGTGCGGCTACATCCGTACGGTCTTGGGCCAGCAGATCTTGGGGCAGCTGGACAGCTCCAGCCTGGCTCTGCCCTCCGAGGCCAAGCTGAAGCTGGCGGGGAGCAGCGGCCGCAGCGGCCAGGCGGCCAAGAGCCTGCGGATCCAGGAGCAGGTGCAGCAGACCCTGGCCCGGAAGGGCCGCAGTTTCGTGGCCAACGGTGAGTGGAGACCGCCACCCCTCTGCAACGCCTCGACCCTATCCCTTACCTACCCCTCCCTCACCCTCAGTGCCCTGTTGCTTCGACTCGCTGCTTCCTGAGGGTGTGGGACCTGGTGTCCTGCCCACCTGTTGCTTGCGGTTCCTTTGTATGAGCCGCCGCGCCTCCAGACTGAGACCGGCTTACGTGGGGAAAGCACTCTTCTAAAATAGCCTCCTACTCAGCTTTGTCATATATGTATCTACATGTATTAAATGCATGTATATATCTATACGAAAGAATTCAGTCCAAGATTTTCACTCCTTCCTAAACCTGCTCTATTTGGCCCCCGCCATACAGGGGTCTTAATCTAGAAGCTCCGGGAGTCTATAAACACTTTGAAATTTTATGCAGAAATTCGGTATGATCATTTTGGAGAAAGCACCCCTAGCTTTTATTAGATTTTTAAAAGAGTCTACGACCTCAATAAATATTTTGAAAAAGAAAACCTTAAAGTACTAACTCTCCTACAAACTGTAAATTGGGATTGCGGTTTCTTGCCCAGGTACTTAAGGGCTCTCCACCCCGTGTACAGAGCGAGTGGTGAAAAAATTGGATAGGAGGCTTTGGGCCAGGGAACAATCACACCGCCCTTCGGAGGAAGAGGAGGAGGAGGAAGAAGACTTTGGCCCCGCCGGCTGCAGTACCCTCCCCGCCTCCGCCTCACTGCAACACGCGCCGATGCACCCATGGGCGCAGCGCTGGTCTCTCCAAAAAATTAAACTCGGAGGTGAAAGGGTTTTTTTTTGTGTTTTGTTTTTAAAGTAAAACACTATATCAGTAATTGATAGGAGAGGTCGAAGGGGAAGAAGATGGCAAACCAGTTGTGAAAATTAGAAAACAAAATAGATATATAATTTTTCTCCCCTGTTAAAAGTCAGATGATCAGAGCCACACAGTACTCTTTTACTAATTTACTTTTTCAGTATTATTATAAAAGTATTATAAAAGTATTACAGAAAAGAGGAGGAAATAAATTGATTAAATTGAGATATCAGTTTGTTTCCTACAATGTTAAACTGTTTTTCTAGGAATTGGGCATGGCCAATGAAGAGTCCATTAGGAAAAAGAAAAAAATACCAGACTAGAGATTTAAAGCAGCAGACCCTGGGAGGCTGTATTGTTTTCAGTGTGTGTAAAAGAATCCTAAAGGATTAGGCAGTCAATATTTAAAAACTCGAAATGTAAAGAGAAATGTTTAATGATTATAGTTAATGTAATTGAGTGCCTAATATGTGCCAAGAATTGGACTATGTGGTTTGCATTCATTATTTTATTTATGTTTCAAAAAAACTTGTTAGTCTTTCAACCCCAATTTTATAGATGAAGAAACTAAGCAGTTACATAACACTCAAGTTCCCACAGATAGTAAGTAGCAGACTGCTATTTAAACTACGAAGCCTGAGTTTTTAAATCGCTCCTCAGTTATATTGTTAAGCTTTTTGGTTATTAGTACAAAATAGAATTGTTTTAAGACCCTAAGCCCCCTCCCATTTTTCTCTAAATAAAAATGAGCTGGTTCTGAGAGAATGGGAGGTCTAGATAAAAAAGAACTGCCACAGTACATAGGGAAAAAAAGAACCCAAATTTACTGTTTAAGAGTCTAATGACTCCAGAACAACCAAGGCCAATTTTTGACCAGTGGAATCACTGGACCCTTTTAGTCTGTGCAGGTTCAATGCTAAACTGGAACCAAACTAGCTTCTTCTACTTGGGGGAATGCAAAAAAGATATTCTTTCTTACCCCCTGAGAATGGCTGGCTGGAAAGAGCAACCAGCCATCAACTATTCAATAAATGGGAATGAA